ACTCAGATAAAGTGGTCTCTACAACTCTTAGAGAGCTAACCACAGATCTTCAGATTGATAACAATCAGTGACTGCTAAGAATATAATACTTCTGATCCCCACTAGTCATCTAAAACTGAACAAGTTTCTTGGATGAAAAACTAAATGTTTTCAAGGGAAAACAAAATCCAGGATCCATCCTTCTTTCTTTCCTTCCCTCCCTCCTTCCTATTTTAAATAACTTTGTTTCTATTTATAACATATGTAAAGATTGTTCTTTAGGTTTTAATTTACATTTATTCCACACACACACACACACACACACACACACACACACACACACACACGAGAGTCTGGAGGTTTTTTGGCGGTTGTATCTTTTTTAATCTGCATTTCTTCAGTCACCTTCATGCAGCATTAGAGGACATTTTTAATTAGATTGAATCATTCGAAAAAAAAATATGCTTAGGACACAGGAAGGAAGAGATCTGAAGATATATCTATTGTGACTTTGGTTTTTTGGATTCTGCTTCTCCCAGGAACTGAATAAATTGGCCACATATTAATTTGACCCCATAAGTCAGTCAATATTTTAAAAAAGACTGATATTCTTAAAGATTAGAATCCTCAGGTTATTCTTTTTGTAAATATGACCTTTCTAAATTTATTCTGCAATTGTGTGTTGCAGAAGTATGCTTCATGTAATTTCTGCTGATATTTTTCCTAAATTCATATTTTTTTCATATTGCACCCAAAACCAGTAATAAAGAGAACTTTGCACAAGAGAGGCAATATTTATTTCCAATGTGTGATTTTCATATTCAAATAGAAAAGTTGCTATTAGGGCTCTTTCATTTCTCTGACACAGACTCAAAGTGAAAGAAAGATCAATAATCCTCTAGTCTTTAAAAAAATGATAAATGTAATAAACATGGTCTATTGAATTATTTGCCCTGGTTATCAAAACCATCACGTGGTATTTAATAAGTCATTTACTCCTAAATAAAAAGAAAGAAAAATCTGTTGACTTAGCCTTGGGAAGGGGGGTGCCTTGGTTATTTTTACCTCTTTTAAGCAATTATAAATTTTGTACTGTGCTTGTCAGTGACCCCAAAAGATACAGTGCATCTACATTAGAGATCGTATAAATATTTTATACAAATAAATAATATTGACAAATAAATCTGGTAGCATACATTTCTTTCAAGAACACATTCAAATGCATAGCCTTGACAATAAATTGGAAAGATCAAAGAGGCAGAATAACCTCAGGCCAAAACTTCTCAAAATTATATTGTTTGTCCCAGAAACTAATTTTTCCCCCCAATGGCCACCCCGAATTATTATTATTTTCATTTATCCATTATCCAGCAGCGTTGTGGATTATAAAAAGCCATTTATTTCCTTTAGAGAGAAGAGGAAAGGAATTCACAAAGCCCTCTCTGCTCCAGAAATCAAATATTTACATGTCATGGTTCTAGTCCATAGGAGGGCATCCTTTGCATAATGGAAACTATTGGCACAGTTTCTCTTTGCAGACCCATTGGAAAGCTTTGTAAGACAGAAAAAGAAAGAAAGAAAGAAAGAAAGAAAGAAAGAAAGAAAGAAAGAAAGAAAGAAAGAAAGAAAGAAAGGGAAGAAAATGAGGAAGGAAGCAAAGAAAGAGAAAGGAAGGAAGAAAAGAAAGAACCAAAAAGAAGAAAAGAAGGAAGGAAGGAAGGAAGGAAAGAAGGAACCAAAAAGAAGAAAAGAAGGAAGGAAGGAAGGAAGGAAAGAAAGAACCAAAAAGAAGAAAAGAAGGAAGGAAGGAAGGAAGGAAAGAAGGAACCAAAAAGAAGAAAAGAAGGAAGGAAGGAAG